CCATTCAGGCAACAGTTATTGTACACATCATCATTCTAGGTGTTCTATAATACACAAAAAGGACAGAATCCCTGACTTTATTACCCATTATCAGGGGTTTAATTTAACATTAATTATATGTTTACAAAATGTGATTTGGGGGCTGGGGAGATGGCTCAGGGGAATAAGCGCTTCCCTGGCAAGCACAAGGGCCTGAGTTCAATCCCCAGTTCAGCCAAAAAAAGGAAAAAAAAAGAAAATGTAATTTGTTAGGAAATAACATTACGAGGGTAGTCCATGCACACTATTTCAGTCATGTTACTCTATTTCTTTGAGCCATTTTCATCTGAAACACGAAGGATTTGATTAGAACTAAGAGCCGTTCCATAAATGATTATTAAGTCAAGCATCTCCAAGAAATAACAAGAGAGAGAGAAAAAAAAATACCAGAACCGACTATATTCATTCAACAAATTCAGCAGTTACCCAATGTCTATGTGCCTGGCACTTTCTTTGTGCCAAAGATGTATCAATCAGTGACGTAGGATCTTGAGTATGAGTAGACATAAGCCATCAACATAAAAGAATCTGGAGGCCAATTTTTTTTTGATGGGGTCTATGTTGTTCAGGCTGACTTGAACATCTGAGCTCAAATCATTCTCTTGCTTCAGCTTCTTAAGTAGCTAGGACTATAGGATTTGGAGGACAAAATTAATCAAAGCATCTGAACAAAAACAAAAACAAAAAAATAGTGTAGTCCTAATAGAAGCAGTAAGAACAGAAAAAAGGCAAGATAGAGTTAATACCAAAATATGTGATTTCTAATAAAAAGTTAAAAGCATCTTTGTATAGCAATTCCTAAAACCTATTTGCCAAGAAATTAATTTAAAAATAAATTTAACACTTTAATATGAGCTCATTGGGAAAAACAAGTTTATAATAAAATTCTATTTTACTTAAAAGAACTGAATAGTAATATACTATTCCACTGGCTTATACCATAACAAGGTCTATTTCTTAAAAACTAGTTCATTGAAATCTTATAGTCTCCTATAAAATACATACAAAAAGTTGAGAAAATGACAGGACAGTCAGGAAATCAGCTAATCCAACCCTCCTTACCTCATACAACTTAAGCTTCTAGACAGTGCCAAGCACGTTAGAAGATGCCCAATAAATATTTGCTGACTTAATAAAAAAGGAAACCAATGCCTTAACAGATATTTAAAAATGTTAATTATAGAGCTGGAACCATAACTCCAAGAAAGTACTCAGAAGCAAAAATACATACTGCTGCCTAGTGACAAAACACAAATGCAAAAAAGCTTCAGATCTCCACTCCCCTAAAGTGAATTGCAAAAAGCCCCTGCCTATACAGACTCCTGAACTTTTTAAAAATATCCAGTTCTCCCTACAAATACACTCTCAATTACAATTTAGATTAGAAAGAGTAAGACCTAGTTAAATGCATATTTTGAAATGATTCTGATACGTAATTGAGGCAGAAAGTCACTGTTAAGTGACTGAAAATAAAGTGAAAACCTAGCCAAGTGTGGTAGTATTTACCTATAGTTGCACATTGTGTGTGTGTATGTGTGAGAGAGACAGACAGACAAGACAGACACAGAGACAGATTTGCTTGAGCTCAGAAGTTACAGGTCAGCCTGCCTGGGAAATAGATTGCTCTTCCTTTTTTCAAGGGAAAAAAACTGGAAACCATTTGCTGCTGAATATACATGCAGGGTACATGTATGTTCAATTCTATAAGACTTAGCATGGGTGTATTTAAAAATACATTTCAGGTAAAGTATCTCACAGGCTTTTCAACGTTTTCTTCCTTAAAAGTTATACTGATTATCACTTTATGAACAATAACTGAATGATAAATAAATACACCTAAATACACTATTCAAGGGTCGGCGTGACAGCTCAGTGGACTAAAGCAACTGCTTGCACAGAGTGCAGTGGCCAGGATTCAGTCCCAGTGTGCCATGCCGGCCCCGTCCCCAGGGACACACTGAGATGGTGATAGAGACTAGGAGCGGTGGCGCACCTGTAATCCCAGTACTCAGGAGGCTGAAAACAGGAGAATCACTACAAGTCCAATCTACACAGTGAGACCCTATAGACTGTACTAAATACAATAAATAAAATTGTTCAGAAATTTTCAATTACACTTTTTTCCTTATTTCAAACTTTTAGGGTAATTTAAATTCTATTTTGTATATTGATTTTACAGAAAAGATGATTAAGAAGTCTTGTATCACATTAATAATGCTCATAGGGCTGGAGTACCATTTCATTAGTAGAGATATACTCTCAGCATGCATGAGCTCCTGGGTTCCATCCTCAACAATGCAATAAAGAAAAAGGAAAGGTAGATCCTACTCTACTAGGCTTAGCAGTGCTAACATAATTCTCAATAAATACACTGAAAAGTACAAACAGCTGAGAAAAAATTCCACTTTCTCATTTATCCACTTGAAAGTTTAACAACATGCCAGAGCCTGCCCTACTGGTGCCTGCCCTACTGGTGCCTGCCCGTTATCCCAACACTCAGAAGCTGAGGCAGGAGGATTGCAAGTTCAAGGTCAGTCTAAGCTACACAGGAAGATCCTGTCTCAAAACAAGAAACACTCCAGCATTTTCCACTCTGACAGAATCTTATTTCTCAATTTTTGAAAAGAAAAAATATTTCAAGATTTGGAAAATATAACAGCCAAGAGCAAAAAAATGATACAGGGCATCAAAAACATTACATTATTTTGGAATAAAAATTGACTAACTCAGTAACAACAAATTCCTTCCCTTAGTTTACTGCCCAAAAGACAAAAGGACTCTTTTAAAGATATATCTGTGTTCAATTAACTCATTAACCTGCTTCAAACACTGAATCCAATATTAAAATTACAAAACTAAAGTATAAAAAAACATTAAAAATTAACCTCGTGAAATTTTAAAAGCTGCTAAAAGAATACTTGTATGTGTCCAAATAATCAAGAACTGTATGACTAGCAAATACATGACAAGTATTCATTTTCAAAACTAATACCATGTCAAAGAAAAATAATCTCTGAAGAAATAATCCACGAAATCCCTCATCTTCTTGACATCAGAAAATGTATTTCAAGATCCTGGAAGACAAAAGATCCACAGTAAACCCTACCATGCTTCAGCATTCCACTAATACTACCCTAAGAGAACTACAGAATACCAAAAAGATATCAATAATTTGGTAAAAGGTGACATATACCTTTCAAAATAGTTTTCTGACAGAATTTACATTCTCTTATGCACTGTTATTGCTATTACCTAGTCCTTCCAGAAATTTTCTCTCAGAAACTACCAAGGTCAGCAAACAAAAGGAACACCAAGAGAACATTAAGATAACAAGAATTACAGCAGTTAAATGTCCAAGCAAAGTGAGAAAACCCGTGGAAAAGAAATTTGCATAGGCCAAAACTGTAATTTCAAATCAGAGAAAGCAAAACATACTAACAGCAAATACATTTTGAATTCACCATGGGAACATCAATTCTATACTTCAACCTCTCATTGTACCAGAACAATGGAACGATAAAGTTTAAAGGGTTAAAGTTACAAGTATGACAAAGCACAGGAGTTTAAAAATTAAATAACAAACAGGAACATCTTTGTATATTTAACGCCCAAATCTTCCAAGAATTTGAAAGGCATTTGTTGAAACCAAAATGGCAGCCCGGTGAATCGGTATATTAGTGAAATCTACAGGAGAGTTTGTGGTCTCTTATTTTTAAGTTCAAGTCTACTAGTTATGAAAGACACACCAGTCATGGTTAACTACTTATCATAAATAGGCTTCAAGAGAGGATTAAGTACCTGCTGAAAAGTTTCCTCCTTAATCAGTGCACCCAAAATTATTCTTCCTCAAAGTGAAATTACACAAGTGCTAATTTAAGGGCTTCATGGGATTCTAGATCCAAGAACTCTACAAACCTCGCCTCCCAAAATAAACTTCTGTACCTGTATGAATATTTAACCTAAACCTACAACCCGCTTAAATCCAATCTGAGCAATTGTGTACACCTGAGCAACAAGAAATTCAATTAACGCTGTGTCTCTGGAACTCCCCCCACCCCGCCAACAGCTTAATTTAAGCAGCTTCTATTGAAAATCTTAAAAACTCCCAAGTTCCGGTCGCTGGAGAAATTCATACAAACGAAAAAGAGCTCTACACCTGCTCCATAACTCTAACTTCTCTCACAATGAATGAAAAATAAGTCACTTATCAAACCCGCAGCCTCACATCCGAAGACTCTTAAAGTTTAGTCACTAACAAACTCGCACATGCTGATGTTTTTTGCAAAAAAGTTAAAAATAGAAAGGTGGCAGGTCCAAGCTCACTTGGAGGCGATTCCTGCAGCCAGCCAGCCACCTTTCGCGGCGGCTCTGGCCCTCCGCAAACGAAGGAGGGCGAAAGAAGTGGAGGAGGCCAATAACTTGCCTCAGACTCCCCGAGCACAGGGCTGAGGAGACACGACGGGTTATCGCGGGCGCTGGGGGGAGCGGACAAGTCAGGCGGATAGCCGGGCGGAGGCGAGGCCTAGCTCTCCAGCTCTAAATCACTCCACCTCAGTAATGGCGTTTAGTGTCAAGTGGAACGAGACCCGGGAGGCGAGCGGCGCCGAGCCCGCGGAGCGCCCGGCCGCAGGGCCCCGGGCGGGGGCGGCGCTGACCCGGCCCCCGGCGGACGGGGTGTGCTCCGCTCGCGGCGCCCGGAGCCGCCATCCTCCCACTCGGCCCCAGACAGGACGGGAAGGGGGGGGAGGGACGGAGCCGTCAGCCATTTTCCCTGCCCGTCCAAAACACACAGCCACGCTCCCGGGACGCCGGCCCGGCTCGCGGCGCAGCCCTCGACCGCCCCGCCCGGCCGCCCGCGCAGAAGGAGGGGGAGCCTGGCCCCGGGCGGGCCCGGAGGGAGGGACTTTGCACGCCCCCCGTGCCACATCCAGCTGTTGGCCCGGGAGCGGCTGACTACTCACCGCACGACACGGGCGTCTACTCAGAAGCAGGACACACCGGTGCGGGAGCACCAGCGACGGCCAAGCTCGGTCCCGGGCCAAGGCCTAACCTGGGCACATCCCAGGGTTGAGGGGAACGGGTGACAAAGTGTGTCGAGGGGCTGCAACGGCCGGGCTCAGGGCTGTGGGCGTGAGAGCTAGGGGCTGCACCCGGGCGCCGGAACTCGCTCCTCCCCGCGCCCGCTCTGCAGCAGCAGCAGTGGCCGCAGCCGCCTCCACCTCCTCGGCTGGCGGCCGCCCTCTTCCCCTTCTCGCCTCGGGCTGGGGCTCTCGCTGAGCTCAGACGGGCTCCGCGCGGTGCGTTTGCCCTGCGTCACCTCCTCCTGCTCCTCCTCCTGCAGCGGCAGCTTCACCTTTCCTCAGTCGCCGCCTCAGTCCCCGCTCCGGGCCTGGTCACTTTGCTGCGGCTCGCTCCCCGACTCCGGCGTCGCCCCGAACACCGGACGCTGAGGCGGCCGCCTCCCGCGCGAGAGAGGCGGCAGCGGCGGGCTCCCGCGAAGCCTGAGAGTGGGGCAAGGCGGGAGGGGCTCGGCGGCAGAGGCCCGAGTGGGCCGGGTACGGAGAGGTTGCGGCTCCGACGGCGGCGGAGACTAGCTTCCGCAGCCGCGGGTGCCCGTCCTCGTCAATATGGCGGATCCGAAAAAAAAAAAAAAAAAAAAAAAAACCGCTCGGCCGGTGGCGGTAGCGGCGGCGGTGGCTGGAGCGGTAGGAGCGACGGCGAGAGCGCAGCGGCGGCGCAGACTCCTACTAGCCCCAGCACCGCCCAAAACCCCGAGGTTCTCCGCCGTCAGGTCCCGCCCCTCACAGGCACCGCCTCCCAACCCTCCCCTTGCCCCTGCCCAGCCCCCTCTAACTCGGCGCCCCCCTCCGCCCGGTTCTCCGCCACCCCGCGCAGTGGAGCCAGCGGGACTGAGCGTACCTCTCAGGAGGTCGGGCCATTCTCGAGACGCCGGGAACACTGAGGCGGCTGGGGGGGAGGGGAAGACAATGCGGTAGAGAGTTCGCGCGGTACCTTTCCTTCCGGTCAGCCCCTCTAGGGTCAAGCTACGGCCAACCCCCGAGTTCCGTACCCCTCAGCTCGGGAACGGGGCGTGGACAGAGTTGGCGCGAGGACAGGCAGGAGTGGGGGAGGGGAGACCCGAGAGGATCTGGCAAAACACTAGAGAAAGGGCTGGGCGGTGGGGATTTGCAGTGGGCCACGACCAGGAAAGGGTTAACCGCGCGAGCCGCAGCCGCGACGCTGAATCTTACTTGGGCCGCTTGTTTTTGTTCCATTGTGAAGCGTGGCCCCGCCGACAAGTGCCCGGATGATGACGTCACTGGCCTCCCCCTTTTCCGGGATTGTGGGGGGAGGGGTGGCGGAAAGATGAGCGCCTGAGACCTAGCACTAGGCGGTCGCTGCCTCAGTGCCTGGGGGTCCCGGCGGCACAGCTGACCTGTGTCACGTGATATTCAAGCGGGCCGGGTCACGGGGCGGGGGCAGTGCCATGTCCCGAGGGTTTGGCCACCTGCTCTGCGCCGATACGGGAAGGTGTGGCTATAGCTCCTGAAGGGGGAGAAGGGGGGCCATGGGAGTCAGGGCCTCCTTCATTTCCTGTGAGGGAGGCGCTGTGAGAAACTCATTCACAGGATCCTGCTGCCTCATCATCTTAAAGCATTTAGGCTTCCTGAAAGCCCAATTGACTGTGACAGACCGTTCTTTGGCCACAGGAGCCCTTAAAACAAACTAGCAAAGATAAAAAGTGTACAGTGGCAACGACGGCAGAGCCACTGCATGTACCAAGAGTAGCCTCTGTTACCAAATCATCAGCACACACAATATGAGAACCCGGAAGGGGCTCAGAACCCATCCGCTATATCATGGACTATTTTCTACACGTTCATAATGCAAAATGCATAAGAATTTATCATTTATAATCTTTAATGTGCTTGGAATAACTATACATTCGACCTAGGTGAAGACGAAATAAATGAACTTCCTAATTTACTATACATTTCATCTTGATTTAAGTGGGCACCAAAATACGCAAAAAAACATAGTAAGCCTTATAAAACAAAACTTACATTTTGTATAGGACAGGTTTCAATGTAGTTATGTTAAACATGTGCTAGTTCCTAAAAAAGGATTGTTAGGTGGGATCTGAACTAATTTAGGTGACACACCACACAGTACTGGCATGTTAAATTTTTAAACCATTTCTCTGGTACAGCACTAGACTCTACAACGTATTCATAGTCCTAATCTTAGCACGGGTTGCTTGATTTTTATAATTTTTTTCATGCATGATTTTTCTCCCCTAGTAGTACTGTAGGTTTTCAGAGTACACTGTGGTTTTTATTTAATCCTCAGAACCATGAGAGGTGGCCAAAACATAGGTTGTAGTGCTTGATTTTAGATAAGGAAACAGAAAAGGTAAAAGTGATTTTTTCAAGATCAACAGAATAGGTAAGTGTAGAACACAGGTCTCAACCCTATCAAACATCTACCTTTATCAAAAATATTCATAAAACAGGGGCCAGGGAGATGGCTCAGTAGAATAAGCGCTTCCCTGGCAAGCGCAAGGGTCTGAGTTCAATCTCCGGTTTTGGGGGGAAAAAATCATAATAATCACAACACTAAATAAAACAAAGATGTCTACTCTCAGCAATTCTATTCAAGCAAATCTACTTGAGAGGCTAGCCAGTGCAATAAAAATAGATGAAAGATTTCTTTCTGGTGAGAATGGAATAATTAAACTGTCCTCTTGCATATGACATAATCTTATACATAGAAAATGCTGGGTAATCTATTATAAAATTAAAGCTAAAAAATGACTTTAACATGGTTGTAGGATCAATATTTTTAAATCAAATATATTTTTATCCACTACCAAGAAACAATCTGAAAAATTACAATTACAATAACATAAAAATAAATTCAATAAATGAACCACAATATTTGTAACCCTGAAAACGACAAAGCATCATTAAAAAAATTAAAGAAGATCAAAATAAATGCAAAAGCTTTCCACCCTTAAGTATTAAAAGACACTACTGCTGAGTTCTGTGGCACAGGCCTGTACTCCCAGCTACTCGGGGCTGAGGAAGGAGGATCGCTTGAGTCCAGGAGCTTGAGGTCACCCTGGACAACATAGTGAAACTATCTTAAAACAAGGAGATACCATATCACATTATATAAATATCTGTAATGACCATGTGTAAAATGTAAAATTTTTTCAGTTATATTTTATTAGCATATAAAATCATATTTATTATCACATACTGTATAGCCATCTGTAATTACTATTGTCAAAAATAAAAGTTTCAGTTACATTTCTTTTTATTAGCATATGTTTGGAATACGTATTAGCTACACTCATTTAGGGGAATTAGTACACATATAATGTCTTAATCAGTCCTTTCTTGATCATTTATTGATCAGTTTTCATCCCTTTACCCATCCCCCTTTTCATCTTTTTCCCTCCTTCCTTCTTCCCGGATCGCTTTCCCCTTCTCCAAAAATCTGCCCTCCCTGCTTGCTACAGTTCCTCCTTTTACTCTTTAATTTATATGTTGGGTTTTCTCATATAAGAGAAACCATGTGATGTCCTACTTCTTGCGTCTGGCTTATTTCATTTAACAGAATGGTCTCAAGATGCTGCAAATGGCACGGTTTCATTCTTTACGGATTGCTTATTCAGGAATTCAAGGTCAGCCTGAGCAACATAGGGAAACAGCCTCAAAACAAGAAGATACTAGGTCGCACTGTACAAATATCTGTAATTATTATGTGTCAAAAATTTTAAGTTTTTTTTTTTTTAAAACACTATTATCAGTGATAAGGCAATTTACAGAATAGAAGAACAAGATGGGAGGGGGATTTGGGCTTAGGAGGAGGGGTAAGGGTGAATAGAAAGTAAAAAGGATCATTTTTTTTTTATTTGGTGGAACCAGGGATTGAACTCAGGCCCTTCTGCCCTTCCGCTTGCCAGGCAAGCGCTTATTCTACTGAGCCATCTCCCCAGCCCCAAGGATCACATTTTGATATGCATATGTACCAATCCCCCACAATGAACATATTATATATTGCAAACATACAGCAATAAAAATTTTTTGAGGATAAAAAGAATTACATTCAACATTTACTTATCCTGTTGATCTTAAGGAAATCATTTACCCTTTTACCAAAACCTAGAAAAGAGATTTGAATTTCTTCACAGATGTACAAGTGGCAAATAAACACGTTAAGATGCTCAACATCACTAGTTACTAGAGAAATGAAGATAAAACCACAATGGAATACTAGTTCACACCCATAACAAAGGCTGTTATCCAAATAGTGGGCTGGGAATGTGCCTAGCATGCTTGAGACCCTGGGTTCTATCTGTATCATTAGTTGGGGAGAAAAAAGAAAAAAAGAATGAAAGTAGAAAAAAGGAGAGAGGGAGAGAGGAAGGGAAAAAAAGGAAAATGACAAGTTGAACAGTATACAGAGACCAGAATCTTCTGACATTGCTTGTGGGAATGCAAAACGGTACAAATTGCAGATCCTTAAAAAGCTAAATATAAAGTGACTCAGAAATTCCATTCCTAGACACAGGTAAATACAGGATGACTACTCTAAGAACTGAAAGCAGAGACTCACACATGTATACCAATATTCATAGCAGTATTGTTCATAATAGCCAAAATGTAGAAACCACTCAAATGTCCAATAGATATATGGATAAAGAAAATGTGATAAATACATACAATGGAATGTTATTTGGGCCTTAAAAAAGAATGAAACTCTGATCCGTGCTGCAACATGCAATAACCACATGAATGTAGCATAGAAACATGTTAAGTAAAAGAAGTCAGACACAAAAGTTCACACATTGTATGATCCCATTCAACCTGGTAGACCTAAACATAGTATAGTCAAACTCATGAAGACAGAAAGTAGAACAGAGGCTACCAGGAAGGGACTGGGAGAAGAGGGGAATGGAGAGGTAAGGTAAGGTATTAAAGCGCATGGAATTTTCTGTTGGAGGATGAAACACTTCTGGAAATACAAGGTGATAACTGTTGTACAACATTGTAAATGTGCTTAGCACCACTGAATGATACACTTAAAAAGTTACTATGGTAAATTTCATATATATTTACCACCAAAATATTGATCCTGGACTTACTCCCCAGTAACACATCTCTCCAAAAAAGAAGAAAATCCTGATAGATACTGGCAGTTTCCTATGATTGAGTCTATGAATTACTCTCTTGTCTCAACTCTTAAGTCAAGTTCACCAGTTACTCCTCAGAATCTGTAGAGTTACCTAAAATAAATACACACACACACACACACACACACACACACACACACCCAGGCTATGTCCTACATCACTGTCCCCTTTGCTACCTTCCACTCAGTAAATGCAATAGGAAAGAGTTCCAAGTTTAAAGAACAAGTTCAATGCCATGGTGCAATTCACATTAAAATGCATATAGTCCAGACCTTTTTTCTTACTTTGTTTTGCTTTGTTTTCTAACACCTGTTCTTTAGCTTCACAACTGTAATTTTTTTTTTTTTTTTTACTTCTTGGTTCTGCCTCATTAGGGCACAACCTTATTATATTACATTTCCTTATAAAATTTCCCATTGCATTCTCTCCCCTCTTCCCCTCCCCAACCCAGAAATATTTGGTAAATACACTCATTGTTTACTAGAACACATCTTTTTTTTGTGGGAGTGGGAGACACAAAGGGTC